CCCCCTAAAATATTTTTAAATCCGTTCTTCCATAGCTGTGGAACACAGGACTTGAACTTTTAGGTCTGTTTGCTTTTCTGTCATTGGTATTTTTGTTGGAGGACCTGCCAGAAGACTTGTCCCTTTGGGCCATCTTAGAAGTGACTTTTCTTGTGGGAGGGTTTGTGTAGCTTTACAGCTTGGGGATTTATAATTTCAATCAGCACACTGAAAGCTCGTTATCTGTCAGATAAGAGTCTGGTCATTGGATCTCCTTGTGTTGGCCCCTTGGGTACTTTGCCTCTCTTCTTCTGATAAGGTGGCTATTGATAGCCTTCACAGCTTTAATTATTAATCATTGTTGATGAGCATAAAAGTTCCCCAAAAGGACAGCTTTTCATTATAACATCCTCTCCTTTCCTTTTCCAGTTAAGACATCTCTGAACTGCCAAACAGGTATCTCAGGGAGGACAGAGATTATAGTCTGGGTCCTAAAACCTCAAAAATATTTGAGGATCCCCCTTTTCTCTTTCTTTCCTAACCTACAGAGAGTCATGGTTGCAGATTTAGCAAAGAACACTGTAAGATACCCAGTTAAAGTTGAGATAAAGAATAAAATTTTAATATAACTATGCCCCATACAATATTTGGAACATAGTTGTACTAAAAAAAATTATTTGTTGCTTATCTGACATTCGAATTTAGCTGGATGTCCTCTATTTTATTTGGGAAGCCTACAGACAGTGCATAGCTTAATGGTTTCCTAAGTCCGTCTGATGTTTTGAGATCTAAATTCTTTGAGACTTGCTCCTAGTTTAAACCCTCAATGAAATGTTTCTAACAACTAAGACTGCATTTTCTTGAAGTGTGGTAGGCGTTGCACGGCCTGCCTTCACACAGCTCCCTTTTGTCGTGAGAATGTAAGAACAGAAACACTTTGCTTGAGAAACCTAAGCTAGATATTTCTCTCTTTTGTAGTTTTTGTTAAATATTTCAAAAATACACGTAAGTAGTATAAGACAGTAGTATAATGCATTGCACACGATTTGTTTATACTTATTCCCTATTCAGTCTTTTTCTTTTTGTCTGGGTGGGTGTGGGAATTTGTGTTGCCATCCTCTAAGTCAGTGGTTTTGAACCTTGGCTACACAATAGAATCATCTGGAGGGCTTTTTAACTCTCAGTCCCTGCCGGCCTCCCAGACCAGTTAAATCCCCTGGCAGTGGAGTCAGGCTGCACTGGTATTTGAAGCTGCCCAGGCGATTCCATCGTGCAGCCCGGGCTGAGAACCAGTGCCCTAAATGAAAATGGCAAACGCAAAGAAGCATCTTGATGGCAAAATCATGCCCTTAGATTTCAAATTCCTCTTCAAATCTTATTTCACGTATTTTTCAGTAAGCATATTGTATTAAACCATATGATATTGTGTTATAGCATATCACATATTCTATTATAAAGTTTACTTTAAAAAAAGCAATCTCATCTGGCTATAACCATATCATTGATTCATTATTAATTTCCTGAAAGTGTATAATGGGCTTTTGTTTTCTGATATTTCTTTGTGATTTATTTATTTTATTTCATTTTATTTTTTTTGAGGAAGATTAGCCCTGAGCTAACATCTGCTACCAGTCCTCCTCTTTTTGCTGAGGAAGACTGGCCCTGAGCTAACATCGTGCCCATCTTCCCCTACTTTGTATGTGGGACACCTACCACAGCATGGCGTGCCAAGAGGTGCCATGTCCACACCCGGGATCCGAACCGGTGAACCCCGGGCCGCCGAAGCAGAACGTGCGAACTTAACCACTGCATCACCGGACTGGCCCTTTTTATGTCTTTTTAATATGTATTTCTCTGTCTCTCTTAGGTTATAAACCAGTGGCTCTTAACTCTAACTGCTCATTAGAATCATCTTTAGGATGCTTTTAAAAAAAATGCCTGGGCCCCACCTCCTGGAGGCTCAGCTCTAACTGGTCTGGCGTATAGCCCAGGCCTTGCTGTTTTTAAAAAGCACCAGAGGAGAGCCCGGGTTAAGTCAGAGTTGAAAGCCAGTATTTTTAAATATGTCAAATACCTACCCAGCTGATCATCTTAATCTCCTGGGGAAATTTTTAAACATGCATATATTTGCTCTGCTTAGTGAGGTAGAAGAAATTTTGAGGTTCTCCGAGGAGGAAAAATGAAGAGGTGGCAAATGCCTTCGGAGTCCTGGGTGTACGTGAGGAATTCCTGTCGGGGACAGCCGGAGGACTTTGAAGAATAGGGATAAGGATGTCTAATGTTTTAGAAATATTTTGTTTCCTCTGCTACCCTTCAACCTAAACCTATTCTGCTGCTCTGAAACCTTCAGAGAAGGCCACCACTCATGGTTACCGGGCTGCACGCCCGTTCCCACACAGAGAATGTCGGTTGTCCAGGCCCCACCCATGGAAATCCTAATGCAGGAGGCTCAGAATGAGGCCCTGACACCAGTACTTTCAAACCTTCCCCGGGCCATTGTGCTGAGTGGCCAGGTCTGATCACCACACTGCAGACCCTTAAACAACGGTCATAATTCATCCCATTGGCAGCTGGGCGAATTCATGTGGGGAAAAGTAAAACCAGTGGTAAAACTGGGTTTTTTCAAAAGGGAAAAAAACAGTCTGATTCTTATTAGCCCTCCCTCAGACCTACCTGGTACTTTTCTCTTTGAGTGACTATATGAAAGAAGAAATTACTTTGCTGAAATGGGATGGAAGAAGACCAAGGAGGAGGTGTCCAGGGAGAAAAAAGAATAGAGATGTTTACAGCAGACTTAATCTTCTGTAATAGGAGATAACAGGGGGAAGCCTGGTGCACCAATCCGAAAATTTCATTCATCCTTCAACGAGAGAGGACAGAGCTCAGTCCTGGGTTCACGGTGTGTTATGGCCTCGAGGAATTTACAGTCTAAAAGGGGAAACCGAAAATTAAAACACAGTGGGCAAAAATAGAAAGTTCTACAGAGTAACGAGTGTAGAGCCACTCCATGGGGCATTAGAGGTGAGGGGAACTTCAGAGGGGCAGAGGCCAGAACCGAGCTATTGAAAGATGCGAGGATTAGGGTGTGGGGGAAATGGAAGGCGAGCGAGGGGAACGAAATGATGTTTCTTCTCAGGGTGAGCAGGAGTCTGTGCATGGGCACAGGGGGCTCGACGCAGCCCAGCGGGTTACCTGAATTACCAGTGGTTCTGTAAGGCTGTCGTGTAACGTGCTGGAGGAGCTGGGGCAGGTGGAAGGCAGAGTCACGCTGCTGTGTGTCAGAGTCCACTTACATACGTCAGCCTAGCCATTCTTGGATATTACGCTGAGTTCCTAGGGTGGCCATAGAGAGACGAGAAGCCAGCCAGCCTTGCTAAGCCTAAAATAAGACATCCAGTCTCTATTTGTCAGACTCTGCTGCAAAATCCTCTTTCTCCAGCCTAATCTTTTCATATTATCCCTATTGGTACTTGGTTGCATTTCTTGCTAGAATTCCTTTATTCTAGACTCTTGAATTTTCAGCCTCCTGGGACATAGGCATTTATTTTTTGCATGATGCTTTGTGGTTGACCACATGAGCGATTTCAGTTTGAATGTGATTTCAGTTTGGTGAAAACCTAACTTTTCACCATGAGGGAATTACATTGACCAGCATGGGTCATCCCTGCCCTCGCCCCCCCACTCCAGTGGTCACCACACAGGCACCCCTGACTCCTCTGCCCTTAGCTTCCTTCAGTTGGAACCACTGGCTTCTGTTGTTGCTGTGCACTTAATTTTTTGCTATATGGTATACAGTCCAAATATACAGACAACTACAAAGGATCATGTAACAAACCCTGGTTTACTTACCCCACCCCTTGATCAGATCTTAACATTTTGCTCTGTTTGTGCCAGTTCTTTTTTACAAACTAAAACATTGCAGATACAGTTATTTGAAGCTCCCAGTGTATCTCTTCTGAGTCTCATCCTCCTTCTCTCCAGAGGTGACACCATCCTGATCTCAGTGTTTATCATTGTAATGCATGTTTTTACACCTTTACCCCATGTGTGTGTCCATAAACAACATATATTATTGCTTTCTAAGTTTTTAAACTTTGTTTAAATAATTACATCCTTGAAGTATACATCTGTGCCTTGCATATGTATTGAAAATTAAGTTTTTGAGATTTGTTGATGATGACACATACAAATTTAATTCGTTTTTTACTACTACATAGCATTCAATTTATGACTATACAAAAATTTATTTTTTATTGCATACAGGTAGACATTTGGATTTGTTTCCAATTTTTCACCATCATAAAGCTGCAGCGAACATCATTGTACACATCCACGTGCACAAACATTGGGTTTTTAGTCCTTAATCATTTCTTTTATTCATATAAGTAGTATTCACTATGTAGACAAAAAAAAAATTATCAACCATCCTAATCGTCTTACACATGACAACATAATCAACTGTAAAATAATATTATAAATTGCACTGATGTTTTCAACTTGTAGCCTTTCACAAGAGTCACCAGGAGCTTCCTTCGTGGAGACATACAAGCGTCAACTCTGAACCACAGAACAATTTAAGGAGTAGTCAGATGTGAGCACAGGATTGGAAAGGAGGCTATTGTACCTTCCAGAAACTTGGGGTCGGTTTAAGGACTAATCTTCCCCCTTTTTCTGTTTCCTTGACGTGTGAATGGTCAGAGTCAGCCTGACTCACTATTCCCCTAGTGTGGACCTAGAACCAAGTGACTACAATATTTAGCCACTGAATTACATATGAACGTTTATTAAAAGTATACACACTACCTTGTCTCCCAGGAGGAGAGAAGTCACAAATGTCTTATTGATTTTTATTTCATTTCTTAATGCCTACCATGTACAGAGCACCATGTTAGGTGCTCTGAGATGTCCAAAGATGAAGAAGTCCACAGAAGAACTTGGAATACCACAGGGAAGAGACACGTAGGAACACTGATCAGTAGGATTTGGGCATCTGAAATAGAGTTTTTTATTTTCTCCTTTAGTGACACTCAGGAAATGCTTGTCTCCTGCTGTGGATGAACAATTTCAGAGTACTATGGATCATGCTGAAGAAAATGAAATCCTCGCAGCAACCCAGAGGTACTCTGTGGACAGGCCTATCTTCAGTCATCCCGTCCTCCAGGAAAGACTGCACAAGAAGGACAAGGTTCCGGATTCCATTGGGGACAAGCTGAAGCAGGCGTTCATGTATGTTGCGTTTTAACCTGTTTCCTTTATTCTGTCATCCAGTTATGAGAGATGCAAGGTCAAATGTATAAAGAAATGCTGGTGAGATGGCCACAAAACAAGTGGTGAGCACTCATGATTTGCAGGGCTGCCCGTAAAGTTCAGTCAGTGATACTGGATTGAACACGGGCTTCATTATGTACTTCACCATATTTATTAAATTCCTACCATACCTTATGTCTGTGTGAGGGTTTACGTAAATAACCCACTTTCCAATTCTCCGCCCACCTTCAAACTATCTGCCTCTTCCCTTTGTCTCTCAGGAATGTTCCACCCACCCTGTCTGTTTTCCCCCCTTGACTTTTGCCGCATGTGGCCACACCATGAATCTGAGTGCCTCACCTAAGCTGTCAGGGACCTCAGTGTCCTACAGCTCTTCATTTTGGAGACACACACACAGCATGGTGCAGGCCTGGGAGTGTTAGTACCTGTGTGCCTCTTGATAGCGCCCCAACTTCAAAGCAGACCATCTAATTGCTGCCTCCTGAGCCCTTGAGACCCCACCCTGTGTGTCCGGGTTCATTTACGCTTCACAGTGACCCTATGCTCTAGTATGATCCTCAGGAGAAGTTAAAAACGCTCGAGTCAGACGGGACGAGTTTCAATCCTCGTCCCCACCACCTGTCAACTGTGCCCTTGAGTTTGCTGCTCTGTAAAATTGGAATGATAATAGTACTTACATCATAGAGTTACTGGGGGTTAAAACCTGTTAAAATATGCAAGGTGTGAGGCATGTGGTAAGCGTTACGTAAACGTAGCTGTTAATAATATCTCAATTTTCTAAACAAGGAGATTGATATCAAATCTCGTTTGTTTTCACTCAAATCCATTGCTCTTGCCACAGTTGCCTCCCATTTTTCTTCCAATATCTTCCTTCATCTAATTACCAGATACTCTTAACCACTAAAGACACCATCTAAAGTACCACACATGCCACAGTAATGCATTATCTTTTGAATGGAGTAAATTACTTCCTCGTCACCATGAGGACTTGAGGCTGTCATGGTGGTGATGGAATTCATCTGTCCACACTCTTACTCAGTGATGTCTTTGATTATTTACATAGATGGGCAAATGGGCTGGCTGAGGCTCAGAACATAGTCTATATATCAAAGTTAATTGAACCATATAGGGATTAAATGCAAGGCCTTGGTTTTATCAGCATGGTGTTCCACCTAACCAAGACAACCAGACATAGACCCAGCTACTACGCTCCAGTGACAAATGGTGTTTTGAGTTTGCCTAATCAAAGACCCTAAAGCATTAAACACATGTTGTAAAGCTCATACTGTCTGTATAAATTTCCTTCATTTTATAAGGAAGGGGAAAACTGAATGGGCTGATGCTGGTCAGTGATTCCACATTCAAAAATTAACTCGATCAGTAAATAATTCCCCAGATTCGCTTTTATGTCAACACAGAAAGTACATTAAGTATTTCATCTATTAAAATAATAGCTTCTGGGGTATCTTGATTGATTTGAAGCTACATTTTTCTTATTTTTCCTGGTCAGTTGTAGAACATTATTATGGAGCCAATTGAGATGTTTCCCATTAAAAAAAAAAAAACATTGCAAGAAGCAGTTCTTGTCTCTGATCTCTGCAGTGTGGAAGGGTCATGCTCAGTACCAATTGTGAATTTTCCCTTATTGCTCCAGGATATAAGGAAGGGAAGACGCCCTGGTGTGAATTCTCCAGGAATGTACCTCATTTTATCTCCGGCTTTGTCCTTCCAGATGTACTCCTAAGAAAATACGAAATATCATCTATATGTTCCTGCCCATCACCAAGTGGTTGCCAGCATACAAATTCAAGGAGTATGTGCTGGGCGACTTGGTCTCAGGCATAAGCACCGGGGTGCTGCAGCTTCCTCAGGGTTGGTAGAATATATTTATTTCTCTTTCTGTTTCCTTTGCTACCACCCCCTCAAACAATTGCTTGATCTTTTTTCTGTTTGTTTTCATCATGGTTGCAAATGCCTGGTTTTTATCATATCATTCTAGTCACATTGACCTGTCTTAAGAGGATTCTTCAGAAACTTTTAACCCTCAAAAAGCTCCAGAGACATTAGTTGTAGAATTTGGTGATATTCTTTGTAGATTGGTACATTTAGGAACTGGCTGGGCGTTGCCTTACTTCCTGTTAGGTTAATCAGTCGCTCCATGAACATGTTGTTGGGGTTGTCATTGTTAAGATTCTTGACTTATAAGTTCATAATGCTAATTACAAGGGACCGTGATATACTAATTCCTCTGCCTTTGTGTGATTTTTTACATGTGATATGAGAATTGAAGAAAATACTCGTTAATTTGTTCATCTATTCACACATGTTTATTGAGCATCTGCCTGGCCCTTCTTGTCCTCATGGAGCTAACTGGCTAATCAGAGAAAGACATGAAGCAAATAAGAGCACAAATAAAGTTTTAGTTACAAATGATGCTAAGCACTGTGAAGGAAAATAGGGGTACTGTGAGATGATAATAGAGGGACCTAACTTAAGAAGGTAAGTCACGAAAACCTCTTTAAGGAAGTGAGATTTGAGCTGAGACCTAAAGGAGGAATGGGGAGCAGGTAAAGAAAGAGAGGAAATGCATTTCAGGCAGAAGGAATAGCACGTGTGAAGGCACTTGGCAGGAAAAGCATTGGGTGTTTGAAGAATTAACAGAAAGGCAGTGTGCCAGCATAACAGGGAGCGAGGGGCAGCCCCAGAGAGCCTTCTTGGCCACTTCTGGGTTGCCTTCTGAGCGCAATAAGAGCTCAGCGTGCTTTTGACTTGGGTTTCCTTTGTAAGAGGTCAGTGAGACTGCTGTGTGGGGAATGGATTTGGTTGGTGGGAGGGGCACCAGAGTGAATGTGAGGAGACCACTTAGAGGTGACATTGGCTCACTGGGGGCAAAAGGTGATAATGGCTTGATCGGCCTCTAGGTCAGCTGGCCAAAAATCTGTTCCCTTCTCCAGTTTCCCAGATATTAACTACCAAAGGATCAATTTGTCAAAAAATATCACTTTCCCTCATGATTAATTAGCTGAGCTTTTAATTTCCTTCTGACTGATTTGCCAAATCTATTGAATCTATTAAACAAAAGCCTTAAACCAGATTTAGGACAGTTTTCCACAGCGCTTTGGGCACCAACGCCCCAAGGATAGAGAAAGGGACAGATTCAAAGGCAGAGGCGAGGCCAGGAGGAGGAGCTCGGCATCTGAAATGGGGAACAAGCTAACCTGACGTCCAGTCAAGTTGGGCCAACAGCCCTGCAGGAAGTGCCCTCGGTGAGGCCATAGTCAACCCGTGTACACCAACACTTCAGAGACATCCTCAGGATTCTGCCTCACTGGGTCCCACCAAAATGCCGTTCCACAAATTTTTATTTGACTCGTTAGCCTTCTTCCATCCTGAACTGGGGTGGTGGCTGTAAAAATGGAAAAAGTTGGAAAGAAGCATCCATAAAATCAGCATTCCGTTGACCTGGAGGAGAATGAGGAAGCAGGGCGCGTCAAGAATTGCTTCAAGGTTTCTGGGCTGTGAGTTGGATATAGGGATAGTGAGGAAGAGGGATGGTCAAGAATGACTTTAGATTTGTGGTTCAGACAGGAGGAGATTATCGAAGAATATTCCCAGAGTTGAAACACATGAGTTTTCAGACTGAGAGCAAGACCGCCAAGTACCCCCCCAGGATCAATGAAAAATAGCTTAAACAAGGCACACCGTAGTAAAATATCAGAATACCGGAGATGAATAGAAGATCCCAAAACTTTCTACAAAGGAAAAAAAGAAGTCACATAACTGTGATGTAACTGAGGGGAAACTGAAAAAACAGACGTGAGTCAATAGGCTGTATCGAAAACAATAAACTCAGAAATAACGCTACACGCCTGTTACTTGGACACCTGAGCGCCCTGGAAGATAACCAGGCTTGCCTCGTAGGAAAGGTATCTGCCCAAGAACACTGCCTACAGGATGAGCACACGCCAGCAGAAAGAACCTGGAATAGCTGTATTTTCTGATAAGGAGCCAAGGGAGGAATCCAAGGGACAGGGGGAGGGGGCATTACATTGGCCAGGGAATGGCAGAGTGGGAGTTCCTTATTGAAAAGGGGTCTCCAGAGAACCCACAAAAAGACCTCACTAGAGAAACAGCCAGCATTTGGGCCTCAACCCCAGATTACAACTGCGCCAGTCAGGACTTTCTACCCTAATCTAATTTGTGAGAGAATAAAGTGGAAAAGAATCCACCCTCCACAAAGAGGGGATGACAGGGAAAACTGTCTCAGCCTGGACTCTCTGAGCACAGATATAGGATTACATGTAGGATGGGGGTGGAAGGGCGGGCAGGGTAAGACACAGCTGCTTAAATTCAGATTGTGTTCACGTGTTCCTCAGAGATAAAGAGTTAAGAGAAAAATACGTATAACCCTGTGCTTTCTAACAACTCCCCATTTCTGTTTGTTTTTTAATCCCACAGGTTTGGCCTTCGCCATGTTGGCAGCCGTGCCTCCCGTGTTTGGCCTGTACTCTTCGTTTTACCCTGTCATCATGTATTGTTTCTTGGGAACCTCCAGACACATATCCATCGGTAGAAGTTATTCTTGATGTTTTAGTACCTTTCTTTTTGGGTTTCCCAGTTTTGCAATGTGCCAAAGAAATAGCATGATTGTTGTTAGAATATCTGTTTAATAATAACATGTGTTACTGCAAACCCACTAGGTGCTTTAAAAATGTACACTCCCCCCAAGAATTCTAGAACTAATTACCTTTCTTCTAATCTTGGGATAATGAAAAAAGATGATTTTCTTATGTAAAAAGAGCTATTGAAATCTGTGAAAAAAGCACTTCGGTTCATAATACAATTTATTTGCATCTGCTTTTTTAAAATTTATCTTATTAGTGGTACTGCAAGTTCCTAATTAGTATGCATGAATTGCATTTTTGTTCTATTTTAGACCCTGACTTGTAAATGGTTTCCTTTTACTCTATTTAGGATCAGATCTGTATGGATTTCATAGTATGCTGGCACTGCGTAAAGCTGCCACCAGCAAACACCCACACGATGTTTTGGATGTCCATTGCTGGGTAACACCCCCCAAATTTAGCAGCTTCAAACAAAGTCATTTCACTGTCTCTCAGTTTGCTGTGTCAGGATTTGGGAAGGGCTCATCGGGGCAGTTCTGGCTCAGGGTCTCTCAAGTCGTTGAGAGATGGGAGCTGAGCTGCAGAAGCTACAGAAGTCTTAACCTCTCTCTGTCTCTCTCTCTCTCTCCATCCCCCTCCGCTTCTCTCCCACCCGCTCTCATGTGATCCTAAATGAAGTGCTCTTGTGCTCAGGGCTCCAGCACAAGCAAGTATTACACTCTCAGGTGGAAGCCGCACCAGCTTTTGTTACCTGGCCTCAGAAGTCTCGCAGTGTCAGTCTGCTGCATTGTTTTGGTTGCTAGCATGTCACAGGTCCAGCCAGACTCAAGGAGGGAGGAATTAGGCTACCTCTTAGTGGGGAAATGTCCGGGTTCTGGAAGAGTATGTGGGATGGAAGATATGGCCATGGTCGTTTCTGGAGAGATCAGTCTGCACACACACACACCTTACACATGAAGCAGGAGCAGAATGCTTAAGGACATAGTGCAGTTTTATTTCAAGGATGATTTATCAGTCTCACCTGTGTCTCCTGGAGTCCTGGCCACAACCACATCAGATACACTGAAATTATTAATGCTTTATTATTTCAGGTCCGTTTGCTGTTATTAGCCTGATGATTGGCGCTGTGGCTGTTCGATTGGTTCCAGATGATATAGTCATTCCGGGAGGAGTAAATGCAACGAACGGCACGGAAGCAAGAGACGCCTTGAGAGTGAAGGTGGCCATGTCTGTGACCTTACTTTCAGGAATCATCCAGGTGAGACTCGCAGATGCGGAAGTGGGCTCTTATTTGTTCATTTAATGAGTATCAATGGAGGACTCTTGGCTGGTCTGCACGGTGGGCAGGGTCATCTGGCAGAGATCCAGAGCCCAGGGTTCAAATCACTCAGGATCACCAGTCCTACCGCAGGTCTTACTTATATTGATGTTTATTAGGATCTAACAAGCCTCAGCTGGGAAATTTAGAAATCCCAAGCGCAAGACGAGTTTGAAGCAGGATGGGTTATTAATGGGCTGAGGGCATCTCTTATCTGCTTGGAAGGAACAGGAAGTGACATGACTAAAGGTGCTCCCGGCTCACGGGACAGGGAAAGGACAAGTGTGGCCAGTGCTCTCTGGGGCTCCAAGCCGCTGCAAACCTTCCGCTGCTTTCTGTGTAACCAGCGCGTGAGTCGTAGCTGCTTAACTGCTCCAGGCGCAAGTTTGCAGAGTTAGAAAGTGCTCCAGAAAGAGCTTTTGTGTGTCTTCTGTTGGTTTAACTTCCTGATCTATCATGTGATTTATTTGTTTCTTCGTCATTAAAAAAAAAAAACAGTTTTGCCTAGGTGTCTGTAGGTTTGGATTTGTGGCCATCTACCTCACGGAGCCCCTGGTCCGTGGGTTTACCACCGCGGCCGCCGTGCACGTCTTCACCTCCATGTTGAAATACTTGTTTGGAGTGAAAACAAAGCGGTACAGTGGCATCTTTTCCGTGGTGTATGTAAGTAAGCAGCTTTCTCGCTTCCTGCTACTTGCTTTTCCCTCTTTATTTTCCTCCTTTTTTGTATCACTTTTACCTTCAAAGCTCATCTTTTTTCCAAGAATTTCAATAAAAGGGAAAGGATTCAGTTATTCTGAGGCTTGTCTGAGAAGAGCACTGCAAGGAGACTGAACCTTCAACTCTCATTTTCTTAATATGCGATACTGCCTACCTCCCAAGGAATTGTCTTGTTAGGTCTTTATTTGGTGACTACACCTTCACCAAAATTAGCTGAAGAGCCAGCTCTTTCTTAGGACTAAATTATGTTCTCTTTGGGAACTAACAAATAATTTAAAAGCATTGTAGGAGAACGTTTCTCTTTCAAAAACTGCTTACTCAAGCAGGCAAAAAAAAAAAAAGTCTAAAAGATTTAACTAACACAATTAACTAGTTTAATAAAATAATATAGTCCTTTGCACCCAACCTGGAGAAGGTAGAAATTATTTGCAAGCACATGGGGAATAATGGTCATAACTGATCATGTAGAAACAAAAAAAATCCTTCTAAATAATCCATGGATAAAGAGGAAACTATGAAATAATTAGAACCAAGTGACAGTTGAAGGACCACATATCAAAACTTCTGAGATGTTGCTAACGCTGTTCTCGGACAGAAAGGACTACAGCCTTTGTAGGTGCTTATGTGCCAGACCCTGTGCTGGTGAGCGAGCAGACAGGGCCCTTGCCCTGGGAGCTCCCAGTCCAATGGGAAGACAGTAAGCCATTCATTGCATAAATAGGTAATTAATTACAAATCGTGTTCAGTGCTGTGAAGAAAAGGTACGGGCCCCTATGACGGTTGCATCGGGAGACCTTTGGGGGTCTAGGAAAGTCGCTTTGAGGAAGTGACATTTAAATTGAGTCCCTGATTGATTAGAATGGAGTCAAACTGTAGGACCGTTCCCTAAATAACCAAATTCTTCGTTTCCCATCATAGCTGGTAACATGCTGCTTCCTCTGAGATTTCTCTGAGTGCCTTGTCACAAAGGAAACGGCAGACAAGCAACTGAGTGTGCTCTAGGCATTGACGGGAAAGCTGTGTGGCCTGGGCTCGGCGGTCACCTGCTTTCCCAGGGTCCACATGGGTCCTGGCTGTGTTTGGGGTGCTGAGACTGCAGCCTGCCGTAAAACCAAGGGGCTTTCTTCGACTCACCTGGGCTTCATCCCACGCTTCGGCATTCTCTTGCCTTCAAAGCCCACCTGGTTTCTACTAACAATGATTCCTTCCTCGTTCAGCTCCCAAAAGCGTTTCTATTTATCTACTTTGGGATTATCTTGCTGATATCAGCCCCTAAGCCTGTCCTAATGCTCAGGACTCAGCAGAAGGGTTACTTTTCTGAATTTTATACTCCCACATTGAGATGTTAGCGTATCAAAGAACACTAGAATGTAAGAAGGTTGGGTAAGAATTACAATTACGAAGTTGTGTGACTGGGTAGAAATGACTCCTAATTGGTGAAAACCAGAAGGAGTGAGATTTCAACCTGAGAACTTCTATCTGCGAACATCTAGTCGTGGGATGGTGTGAGCTGGTGCACGAGCGTGTCTGTCCACTCGGGCTGTTTCTTGATGTAAACATCCGGTGTTCACTGTGTTACAGAGTACAGTTGCTGTGTTGCAGAATGTTAAAAACCTCAACGTGTGTTCCCTAGGCGTCGGGCTGATGGTTTTTGGTTTGCTGTTGGGTGGCAAGGAGTTTAATGAGAGATTTAAAGAGAAATTGCCGGCCCCCATTCCTTTAGAGTTCTTTGCGGTAAGTCGACTTTCGGCCACATACACCTAGACGTTTTTTCTCTCGGTTCTGCCAAGAGAAGGTTAGAATTTGTCAAGGGGAACTTTTACAAATACTCTGGCAAAAAAGAAAAAACGTTAAAGCATAGACAGGGGGGTGTGTGTGTGTGTGTGTAAGTGAGTGAGTGAGGAACATGGGCCCTGAACTAACATCTGTGCCAATCTTCCTCTATTTTATGTGGAATGCCACCACAGCATAGCTTGATGAATGGTGCTAGGTCCATGCCTGGGATCCGAACCTGCGAACCCCAGACCACCAAAGCACAGCGTGAACTTAACCACTACACCACTGGGCCAGCTCCCTCTTCCTCGAAATTTTTATTGTCTAATTGTTTTATAATGGACATATCACTTTAATAACTTGAAAAAATTAAGCTGTTTTCATTTCGAAAAGAGCAAAACACAAAAGTTCCCAAACTTTCTTGGTTCCTGGCGCTTCTCAGCCAAAAGAAATACCTAACAGTTCCATTTATTAAGTTAGGTTCAAACAACTTAGTATTTATCTATATCTAACAACTTAGGAACCGTTTGTAAAAATAATGCACATGAATTGAAGTGTAATACAATTTATTATGGTCTGAAATAACCACAACTATTTATTAACAGGATATGTGTGGCTGGTGGGCACTTCACAGCCACTCAGGCCTTGACTCAGGTGGACACCATTACCCTCATGTCCTGTTCACTTTGATTGTTGTGTAGTACCTGCTTTTTATCACAGCAACCACTGAGCACTAAGCTTTGCAAAGATATAGTGCGATCAAAAGGAGTGTAGTAGGAACTGGTGTTGAAACTATCAACCACGGCAAACTAGAAGATTGCACAGTGTCCGACAGATGTCACTGTTTCCCTTGAAAGTTATATCCCACAGTGTCCCGGTGAGTTCCCCTGGGTGCCCCGGGGCACCTTGGTGCCTAGTTCAGGAGCCACAAGGATAAGAATTAAAAAGTATCAGTGTCTGATCCAAATTTAGCAAAAAGTTTCAGCCACAAAAACAACTGGCTGGGATTACAGCTCACAAGAAGGAGTCCCTTTGATCCTTGTCTATGCTTTGGTCTTGTCTACACCCCAAAGGACTGTCTCCCACCATTTCAAAACCTGTCCTGTCGCTGAGGGTGGGCACAGTTCCTCTTTCCTCCCAGAGTCCAGCAAGAAGTTCTCAGCTCCTTTGCGTGGCAAGGGGTCAGGCAAGCCCTAAGGATGAAGTAAACCATGAAGATCGCCTTTCCTGGCTTGGGTTCCTAGTTCTGTCCGTTTTCCAGATTCCCTTTAAAAAAGATTCCTTCATGTTTCCTAGGGCAGTGGGCTCCAGAATTCTATCATTGTAATTACAGTGAACCAAGGTTTTTAGCTTCTTATCTGAGTATTCCTCAGAGCAAGGAGGAGAAGCCATACTGGAAAATTTGGGACAGAGTTTTTATGAATCTCTTTAAACATAAAATTTCTTTTTTATCACAACTTTTTTAATTTTTGCATTCTATTTCATAATACATCTGCTTGTGTTGATAGGAAAACAATGGTTTAAATTATTTACTATTGCATATAGTTGATGCTCCAGGAACTTGAGCCGTATTTACCCTGTGGACTTGAATATTCTGGGCACTCCCCCGGTTTGGGATGCACAACAAATGCACTTAAGGGTGACAAACATAATTGCAACAGACAAAAAAAGCACATTGCATCAAAGGGGCCAGAAGCACCCATGCCCTTGGCCTTCAGGCTGCTGTCTGGCAATAAGTTTAGCTTATTATTGGTCCCCTACAGTAGCCACCACTGTGAGGGACTGGCCCCTTCCTGGGCCAGCCCTGATTCCTGCTCTCCCAGATAGCCCACTCAGAAAGTTCTATAGCAGTCGTCCTTCAGGATGAAGAAAATTGCTCTCTCTCCTATTATTTTTCTCTTCTTGTAGCTCACTAAGGGTTGTATTTTGCACACCAACTAAATCAATGCCCTGACAATCCGGGAAGCCGTATGTACAATGTCACATCTGTGTGACGGGCAGTTTCCCTCTGACCCAGACCCTGTAGCTGCGTGGGAGAAGACGGCTATGGGGTGCTGGTGGGGGCCTCTGACACACTTGGTGCTGCTATCCTGGAAACTGGGTCAGCAGGAGGATGTAGATCCACACAGACATTTTATAATGATACACTGTCATTATACACATTTCAGTGTCCTTTGTTCATGCCATCTTGCCCAGAGACTCATTTCACCTGCCCCAAAGTCAGAGTCAATTCAGGAAAGGTTTTATAGCTTCTTTCTGTTTGCAGTCAACTAGCCAAATACAGAACAAAATAAAGAGAAAAGAATTCCAGGCTACAAGCAAACTGTAAAGTCCATTTTGATTTTGTGGGGAAGGGTCATTAGGAGAAGTTAGAATTCCTGGAAGCTAACTCTAATTCTTTTTAAAACCGAAAGTTAAAAGTGGGAACAGATTTGGCTTGGCTCACAAATTGTTTGAAGCTCATTTGGGGTGTTCGAATTTTCATCTCTAATGGTACGTTTGGATTTGTGTCTTTTAGGTGGTGATGGGAACGGGCATTTCAGCTGGGTTTAACTTGCAAGAATCGTACAATGTGGATGTCGTTGGGACGCTGCCTCTCGGGTAGGAAAACAGTTTTATTTTAAATAACCGTGTGACTTGAATGATCCGTGGATCTATGATTGTTTCTAACTCCTGCTTTAGTGTTCTCGCAATGAAAAATCTCTTTTTTCCAACATATCAAATAGCTGAGGGTTTGGGGGTTTTATTTTTGCTTTGTTTTTTTTAGCATGTGTGGGAGGTTTTTTTTATTGTAATAAAAAACACATAACACAAAATTTTCCATTTTAATCATTTTTAAGTGTATAGTTCAGTAGTGTTAAGTATGTTCACATTGTTGGGAAACAGATCTCCAGAACTTTCTCATCTTGCAAATCTGAAACTGTATACCCGTTGAACAATAATGCCGCATTCTCCCTTCCCCCCAGGCCCTGGCAACCACCATTCTCCTTTTTGTCTCTCTGATTTTGACTGCTGTAGGAACCTCATATAACTGGAATAATACAGTATTTGTCTTTTTGTGACTGGCTTATTTCATTTAGCATAATATCCTCACGGTTCACCCATGTTGTAGCATGTGACAGGATTTCCTTCTTTTTTTTCTTTTTTTCTAAAGATTTTATTTTTTCCTTTTTCTCCCCAAAGCCCCCCAGTACATAGTTGTATATTCTTCGTTGTGGGTCCTTCTAGTTGTGGCATGTGGGATGCTGCCTCAGCGTGGCCTGATGAGCAGTGCCATGTCTGCGCCCAGGACTCGAACCAACGAAACACTGGGCCGCCTGCAGCGGAGTGTGCGAACTTAACCACTCGGCCACGGGGCCAGCCTCAGGATTTCCTTCTTTTTTAAAGCTGAATAAAATTTCACTGTATGTCTGTGCCACATTTTGCTTATCCATCCATCAATGGACGTTTGGGTTGCTTCTGCCTCTTGGCCATTGTGAGTAGTCCTGCTGGGGTGTGCGAAAATCCCTTCAAGATCCTCCTTTCTGTTCTTTGGGTATGTACCCAGAAATGGGATTGCTGGATCACATGACAGTTCTATTTTTAACTTTTTGAGGAACCTCCATACTGTTTTCCATAGTGGTTGCACCCTTTTACAATCCCACCAACAGTGGCATGTGGTTTTTTGTTTTGTTTTGTTTCCTGTTATTTAGTGCTGATCAGTTTATAAAACCTCACCTTGAGGAGCACAGGAAGTAAAAGCAAAAAGACTTAAATCTAGCTTGCCACTTACTAGCCGTGTGACCTTGAATAAGTCACTATCCTCTCAAAGCCCCAGTTTCCCCTGCGAGGTAAGCCTGGTAATTAATCCCTGTCTCGAGGGCAGTTCTAAGAGTTGCAGGAGGTGACACACGTGGATCGGCTAGTGTCGCACCTGGCATACGCAGTAAGCATTCAAGACCTTATGTTAACTGAGAGTCCTGTGGCTTGTTATTTCAATGAGTTTTCTAGTTTCAATTCATATTTTACTTCTACGCTTCATGTATTTTATCTAGCTCTACATTTAAAAAATTTTACTATTCTCTATATTTGAAGGACCAAGAATGACTTCAAGTCTCTCCTGGTCTCAGTCTGTTCCCCTCTGACACTCTCTGCTGTCCCTGTATCTCTCTGTATGTCTCTGTGTTTCTGTCTCTTGGACTATCTCTCTGTCTCTTTCTCTCACCACCCTCTTCTCTCTTTCCAAAAGAACGGAGTCAGACATTTGCCAGGTTTTGGGCAGTGACAGAACCTGGCATATTCCATCAGGCCTTGCCCCTGGTCCCTTCGAAGAGCCTCCTGGGAAGCACAGGGAGCAGGAATTGCTCTTTAAGCCACAGTTCACTCCCCAAAGCAAGTGTTGAAGGATGAAGCGTGCACTGTACTTCAGAACAGCAGAGTGCTATCGTGAACATGTACTTATGATTCCAAGTAAAGGTATAACACAGTCATGGCACATGCTTTTCTATTTGGATTATAATTTATAAAATACTTTGATACCCCCCATCTCAGTTGATGCTCACAGTAGCACTGTTGATGTATACGTTATCCCCATTGGAAAGTTCGTTTATTCTCACTTATTCAGCTGTGTTTGTTGAGTGCCTGTTATGTGCTGGGACACAGCAGTTAAAAACGAAAGCACACACAAGCAAAAAAGTCTTTGCCCTCATGGAGCTTATGGTCTGTGGGGGGAGCCGGACAGGCAGTAAACCAATAAACAGATCATGGAAAGTGCTACAAAGAAACAGGAAGCCAGGTCGGGGATCGGAGGGGCTGGGTTGCTGTTTTAGGTAGGGTGTCAGAGAAGGGGACATTTGAGAGATGTGAGTGAGGTTCAGTGACCCACCCAGGTGTCCCAGCCTGGACCAGAACTCCGTCTTCCGATACCCGGTTGTGCTCTTTCCATTGCCTCACAGCTTGGTCTCTACCGTGAGTAGTCGTGTGATAAACACTAGTCTTTGACTGGATGACCCTGCTCAATAGCTACTCACAAATAATTGGATTAAATGTGAAATGCTTACATTTAGATTTCTCCATTTAAAAATTCACCTGCCGCCATAGTTTCTACCTAGTACCTTCCTTTCCCTATTGCATTGTACCCAAATATATTGCCTTCCCTCCATATGTGAGAGCTAAACGTTTTAAAAAAAGAACATTTTACCTTTCTGGAACTTGGCTACCCAGAAACCTTATCTTTCTGGAACTTTGCCCAAAACCAAGCAGAAGATAAATAATGCCTACCTAACTACCTGTCTGCATACAATCATACTGATTCAGTTATCATTGTGAGTGTTATTGCTAAATGACAAAACCGCAAACAGTGGCTTAAAACAACATCCATTTGTTTGCTCACCGCTTTGCAGTCTAGGTTGTGCTTAGCTGGGTAGTTCTCCTACTGGTCTCCCTTGGGGTCTCATGCAGCTTCAGGTGTCTGAAGGTGTGACTGGTCTGGAAGATCCAAGAGGGCTTCACTCCCGTGTCTGGCGCCTTACCTGGAGGGCTGGAACAGCCGGGGCTGGCTCGGAGCTTCTCTCCACGTTGTGTCTCCAGCAGGGTAGCCAGACTTTACGTGGTGGCTCAGGACAACAGGACAGAAAAGCAGAAGCTGCCAGGCTGCTTAAAGCACCTGTACAGCATCACTTCCACCACATTCTCTTGGTCAAAGCAAATCACAAGCCAGCCCAGATTCAGCAAGAGGGAAACCAGATTCCACCTGTAGACACAAGGAGCAGCACACACAAGTATGGCAGGAATTGTTGGTGGCCGTATTTGAAAGCAGACCAATCTACACATAAGTACACAGTACAGTGTCCAGAAACAGAGTTGACTGTTAAAGATCCCGATCATGACAATATATCCGATTTCTTGTTTTACTTTCCTCAGCTCATCCCAAAATGCATCCTTTTCTCATATTCTTACTCCTCAGACCCAAGCCTGCTAGGCCTTCCCTCGTTGTTAATGCTTATGCAGCAAAGTGCAAGGGGAAGACACTAAGTTTACGGTCAGACCCACTGGGTTTGATTCCCTGCTCCATCGTGGGCAAATTACATAACGTCTGTAAGCATCGTTTTTCACCTATAAATTGGGATAATAATGGCGCCTATCTATTAGGATTGTTGTGAGGACAAGTGAGATGACATGTGAAGCATGTAGTACATAATCTAGGCTTAATATATTTTAGGTTCCTTTCTCCCCCTCCCTTCCCTGGCTCGAGAACTTGGGACATCCCCTTCGTCTCTGTGTTATGACATCATAAGAGAAATGGGCATAGAGGGTGGGTTCTTCATGGCTTTCGTTGTACTTAGATGATGAGCCTTTTGACCTTGGACAAGTTGCTTAACCTCACTATCCCTGATTTTCCTCATCTTTACTGTAAAATGGGGATTATAATGATGCCTAGCTCTCAGGGATATTGGAGGTAAATAAGCACAGAGCCTGGCACAGAGGAGGCACCTAATAAACAAACGATTGTTATTGTAATTATAATAATATTGCGCATCAATTAATTGATTCTTGTTATTATTATCATTTAGCCCAGTGCCTTGAATTGGAGCAAGTGCCTCTGAGAACCTCTGTTGCCCTTCCCCCATGCCATTCTAGGGAATCTCTATTCTGTTCCTTTAAGACAAATGTTCCAAACTACAAAAATGGACCCAAAAATTAGGTTCCCCATTGTGGGGCTCCAGGAGTCACACTCTCGGCCCCTCCAGTTTCCCAGGCTTCCCAAGTGAGACAAAGGGAGTAGAATCTGCTCCATTCCCACCTCAGAACTGCCCCGCGGGGATCCTGGGCAGAAGCAGAGCCCTTGCATGAAATAGCAGGAACCGAGAGCAGCGAGTGCCTCCTGTTGCTCGGGCAGTAATTCTCCTCTGAAGTAGCCCTTGTCCAACAGCGTCTCCACCTCCGTCTTTGGTTCGAATGTCTTGTTACGTCCAAACACCTTGCTGACCCTCTCTTCTTCCTGTTCTGTGTCTTACACCTGCCATGTGGGATGCCGTGAGGTATGGGGTTCCTCCTTTTCTAAATAACGCAGCATCTGATGTCTGCTGAGAACCCATTCAGGTAGAAAGCCGGCACGCGGGGGATTCTACCAGAGTGGAGAAAGAACTTTCCACCTGGAAAGAACCTCTGTGTCAAGGAGAGCCCTCTTTTCTGCCAAACCAGAGCAAACAAGTACCCAGGCATTGATCTCCTCACTTGCAATAATGCCCCTCTGAAATGCTCCCTTCCAGTTGCATGTTTTTCCCCAGTGGTCGCAACGCCCAGGTTAAAGTCAGCTTCACCTTTCAGCCTGCTCCCTCCAGCCAATCCGGACACCAGCCTCTTCCACCTAGTGTACGTGGATGCCATCGCCATAGCCATCGTTGGATTTTCAGTGACCATCTCAATGGCCAAGACCTTGGCAAATAAACATGGCTACCAGGTTGATGGCAATCAGGTAAAAACATTAATTTCCTGCAGATGTTTCGTAGTGGTACAAGCATTGTGCTCTGTTATGGAAGGCAGATGAACTGGATTTCTCTATCGGCTAGGAAAACTTTTGGTTTGACGGTGGATGTATTTGAAGCATGTATTTATTCAGCACTACAATTTTTTTCATGAGTTATGTGTATTGGTCATCAGAACACCGAGGTTCGGAGTCCTATCTCACCTGATGGGCAGAGGTCCAGCCAGAAAGGTGAAATCTCCAGTCTGAGGCTTCCAGTTTGCTGTACTCCTGTAGACATTATCCCTATTTTTAAAGCTCACAGCCTGAGAATAAAATGTCTTTCCAGACCAATTTACTCCACAGGAAGCCTTCTCTTTGCTCATTGAACTTTGAGTATGTGATTCAACACTCAAACTCCACAATATAGTCTTTGCTGCCTTCTTTTATAACATAGCTACAGATAAGGTATTTAATCCGAACCCTGAGCTATGGTTTTGGCGTGACAACGTCTGTTTTAACACACTGTATTTCTCAGAGGAGGCTAGATGCTCCACATTCAGAGGAGACACAGTGATCCAACTAGGAAGACCAGAAGCATCCCTGAGAGCAGGACTCACTGGTCCCAGCAGGACACCGGCATATGCTTGTTGATGAGCAAGAGCCCAGGCATTTAAAAGATGCCATTAGTCCTATACGCCAATAACTTTCTCTTAAACCACAAAAATGTTTTGTCCTTTTGGCTGCAGTTTTCTTTTTTTTTTTTTTTAAAAAAAGCATTATTTGTGTAGAGTGTGTTTGGGAAAGAGAGGGCTGGGTGGTGAGCACAGCATTTATCTTCAACAGAGTAAAAATTCAAAGTGTTTTTCTCCCACCTTAAATTATGCAATAATTCCTATTTTGAACTCATGCTAAACAAATTCTTGTATCTGAAAAGAGAATGAAGAGACAGCCTGTACTGCTGGGAATGTGTATTACATAAGCATCATGCCTTCCTTCCTGGAGAATGACCGCTCTCTTTTCTGCTTTGTTTCCACGTGGGAAGGAGCTCATTGCCCTGGGCCTGTGCAATTCCATTGGCTCCCTCTTCCAGACTTTTTCAATTTCATGCTCCTTGTCTCGAAGCCTTGTTCAGGAGGGAACTGGAGGGAAGACACAGGTGCGTATACAACCGGCCTCAAAGGGATGATGATTAGGGTGGCCAACTTTAATCCCTTGATTCTGTTCAGAACCCAAACAAAGCTGCCCTGCCTGAAGATCCGTGCTCTAGTGGGCTGTGTAGTGAATCAGACAAAGGCGTGATTGGTTGACACAAACCACAGGGAACTGAATCTATAGGAAAGAGGTATATTCTCCAATTAAATCAAAAAACTGTACAACACTCCCGGCTACCAGTAGACCTCAAGGTTCAGACATAGGACGTTGTCATGAAAGCCTGAGACTGAGTATGGGCAGGATGCCAGCAGCGTGCAATAGAACTTTCTGCGGTGATGGAAATGTTTGGTATTTGCACCATCCAATTCGGCAGCCACCAGCCATGTGTGGCTCTTGAGCACTTGAAGTGTGGCTAGTGCAACCAAGACCTGAATTTTTCATTTTATTTAATTTTAATTTTTTACACTTAAATGGCCACATGTGGCTGGTGGCTGCCACATTGGACAGCAAAGTCTTGTCTGAACTCTTGGCCCTCCTGGGTCTCAGGTCAGCACCAGACATCTCCTTTGCCCCACCCTGGCAAGGGCATTTCAGTGAGCATATTTAAGCATTTCAGTTCTGTTTAAAAGCTGTAAGAGGAACCAAAATTTTAGAGAGGCAGTGGGAAGGAGTTATTGGTTTATGTAATGGTTTTGGGTGACTTATTTGAATCCGTATTTCCTTGATCTTCCCACAGTGATTATCAAAAGACTCAGACCAGCCTGTGCCCTGCCTCCCACTCAGCTCCCCTAAAAGCCGCTTCCCTGTGTCTTCTCTCATTCAGCTTGCAGGTTGCTTGGCCTCGTTAATGATTCTGCTGGTCATTTTAGCCACCGGATTCCTGTTTGAATCGTTACCCCAGGTGTGTACCTTGGACTTGGTGTGATGTTTTTCCATGGGTAGAGATTTTGCTCCTTTGGTTAATTTTTTTTTGTGGCTATCTTGTGGGTTCTGACTGTAACCCCAGGAAGGTGGTATGAGAACGGGCGAAGGCCGGGACCAAGATCCTGCTCCACAATCTGCCAGCAGCTGGGACCTTGGGAAGCCTTCTCAACATTTCTGTTCTCAGTTTCCTTCTCTGGGCTTTGGACTGGCTGGTCTCCAAGGTCCCTTCTCTCTTTGATCTTCTATGACCCTATACTTTCACTAAAAGTCTGGGATGGCGCACACTCAGAAGACATTTGTTTACTGATATATTAACCTAGTAGAATCAGGAATGATCTGAAGTAGAGAAAATCATAATGGAGGAAGACCACAGGTGACATAATTCCTTGAGTACCGAGTTTAGTTCTGAACCTCTTGACCACCAAGCAGGTTTGCTACTAGGATATAAGCCTGGTTTTCCAAGGCCCATTTTAGCTAAGCAAGTCCTGAAAATCCAGGCGTTCATGGCTCCCAACATACTGTCAACTGCCATGTAGGAAGTGAGAGGGGAGCGGACATGGGGAGGGCAGGAGGACAGTGAGGAGCCAGCAGAGGGGTCTCGGGACACAAGAGGAGAGGCATGCGTGCTTGTGCTGTGTTTCAGGCTGTGCTGTCGGCCATTGTGATCGTCAACCTGAAGGGAATGTTCATGCAGTTCTCAGATCTGCCCTTTTTCTGGAGAACCAGTAAAATAGAGCTGGTGAGTAACAAAGGTGACTGTCTGGTGTCTATGTCATAGCAACGAGTGGATTAGTGCGGATAAAAGTGTGAGGAAGATAAGGTAGTGCATTCAGTTGCTGTATGCAGGATGCAGTTGGGCAAGGTTAGGTACCGTGTGTGTGTGTGTGTGTGTGTGTGTGTGTGTAACTCCTAGGAAATTTTTATTAGTGATTCTACATCAAGCTTTCTGCCTTTCCTTCAGACCATCTGGCTTACCACTTTTGTCTCCTCCTTGTTCCTGGGATTGGACTATGGTTTGATTACGGCCGTGATCATTGCGCTGCTGACCGTGATTTACAGAACACAGAGGTGAGTGCACAGACTGGAACGGTGTGAGAGTCCTGCCTGAGGTCGCAGCACTGACTCTGAATGTCGACCAAAGCTTGACCTGGGAAAAATAGAGCCCTTTGGTTATTTCTGATCAGCATGAGAGGGAGCCGAAGACTCATGGAGCCTGTTGACTAAATAAATGAAATGGCAAATAAAAAACTCACTATAATCTTGCCAGATGCTCAACTCTGTCACCATTTATACTTCCATTAGTGATTCTCTTAAAAGAGCCTGATTTCCACCATTGTTCGTACCATTCTGGGCCCAGTGGCACGCTGGCTTATGTACTCTCTTCTGAATGAACTGGGTGTTCTTGCACTTTGCTTTGGCGCTGGGTGATGACATGGCTTTTGATGACACGGAGCAGACTCTGACGCCAATGTATCACATGCAGGTCTTCAGTTTTCCCTTCCTCCACCCTGAACTGTGATTGCCTGTCATCTCTTCTCCCTAGTAGGAAGCTGAGCCCACTGGGGAAGGTATAAAATAACTTTAAAAAAAATACCATGTTCGTGGTAAAAAATAAAAGAAATCATCATAAAGAACAAAAAGGAAACGTGTTTCTATAGACAGAGCCTGACTTTCAGACAACCCTGGGCTCAAGTCCTGGCTGCCCGCTCTATAAGCTCTGTGACTTTACATAACCTCTCAGAGCCTCAGTCTCTGCATCTGTGAAATGGGACTAATACTTGTTACCTCAAAGAGTTGCAGTAAGGTTCAAATGAGAATAATGCATACAAAGGGCTTAGCACAGTGTCTCACACGTGCTGTCCACCAACAAATTTAACACAAGGGGGAATGAAAATGAGGTTAGTCTGGTTTTTCCTATAGTTGCAGATCTCATGGTGCTTCTTAAAGTTTTGATGGTGGTGTGTTGAAAGGTTACTGGATGGGAATGTTGACCTTTATCTTCAAAATGGTGGGGTGCTCCCCGCTCTCCAGAGTAGGAAGTGAGCATTTCCCTCATCAAAAATGAATTGAGGGAAGTGTTAACAACATGTGGGATCTAAAGTCAAGATGAGAATTAAACTGCTTTTAATAACAAACTCTAACACTGTTGCCCATATTTATGTAAAAGAAGTTCCCCCCGTTTTTATATAGAACTGTATGAGTACATGCAAGAGTTCTTCATCTCAGAGCTTTGGTGAGCATCATGAGTTAGATAAACCCTGTCTATATCCTGTAACAAGCCACGGTATAGAACTTGAATTTTTTTTTACTTTTTTGTTTTCTTTGTTTTTCGTTTGCTTTTTTTTTTTTACTTAATAGGATTTTATGGTTTCCTGTCATAAATTTTGAAGTTGAGCAAGTTTTTTAAAAAATGCTTTACTTCTCTTATTCCCTCAAATAATTAACTAAAGTTCATTTTGTATGTTCTGTCCCTTGTTGGTGATTTTGCTGGGTCTTTGTAGGCTAGGGTTTGGGAGACCAGTGCTCCAGTGTTTATTTTCACGTGGCGTCTTTTTCTGTAATTAGGGCACACTGTCCAGAGATGACTTTGGCTTGTTTTCCAAATGCCCAGATCCCTTTACGGCACACACAGTTAAAGGACAGCCAGTTCATTCAGCGACATCCATGGGGGCACTGAGGCTGCTAGAAATATGGCGGAAACTCAGCTGCTGCCCCCACAGAGCTCACCGTTTGGTCACTGTTATGAAAGACATTAAAATATTTATAATCTCCATTGAAGGAATGTTTTTTGAGGGACCAGTATGTTCTCAGGGAAATGCTAGACTCTAGGGATATTGCAATAAATAAGACATGGTCCTTTCCTTCAAAAAGGTTGCATTCTCCTAAGGATGACAGACGCGTATAACGACAATGATGCTACTCATGATAGTGAGGTAATGGGGACACTAAATTATTGTAGTTGGTTATGTGCCCAGCTCTGCACAAAGATCCATGCTTCATGTCATTTCTTCCTCACGGCTACATCCTCATGGATAGCATCCCCATTTGTCAAATGTGGAAACCGAGGCCTAGAGAGGTTGAGACACTTACCGAGATCACACAGTATGTGGTGGGCAATGATTTACATATGAGTTTTTGTGAATCCAGAAGCTGACTCTTTGTCAGCCTTTCATAATCCATCTTCAGGAAACTGGAATACGTGGTTATGAGTGCTTCAGTAGGTGTGTGAGCAAGGCACAATGTGATGATAAGCATAACAAATGCCCAAATAAAGCTGCATGGGAGTTCATAGAAAGAGCCTTCCTTAGGGAAGAAATAAGTCGCTGGCCTTCGCTGGGAGCAGTAGTGTTCAGAGCTGAAGAAATGGGGTTCCTGAGCACTCAGGGTGGTCAGGAAGGCCCATTCCTCATCTGCCTGCTGGAATCCGCATACTTTGAGGCCCAGCTTCCCTGTGCACTTGCCACAGTGCTCAGTCCTCCCCCAGCACCTCACGTGTCTCCCCGTTATTTGTGTACTTGCCTGATGCTTGTGTGCGTCCCTCACGCCCCGCTCCCCGCACTAGACTGCAACCTGTAGACAACATTTCAGTGCTCTTATAGGTTTCCTCATCATTGAGAACTCAACTGAGAACCTTGCCTTTTATCTACAGTATCAGTCATTGGTGGTGTGTTTGTCTCAGACGCTACCTGACTGTGAGCATCTCGGTTGTGGAGGCGATGTTCCCAGAGCCCAGTACCAGGCACATAGTGTGTGTTCTCTGAATGCCCGTTGAGGGAATCCACCCAGAAAAACAGCGAACGTTTGTACTATGTATTCTAACCCACAAAGCGCCTGCACACACATGCTGAGAAGCACCAGGGCACGGTGGCAAGACCATGGAATGTCAAATCCAAGACCCGGAGCCGTATTCTGGCTGTGCCAAGCTCTCTGACCTTGAACAACTCACCTAACCCCACTGGGCCTCAGTTTCTCATCCACACGATGGCACAAGAAAGCCAGTAGGGCCGTTCATAGGATATAATAGAGTAATAGGTGCCCAAGAAGCAGTATCTGTCATCATTACAGTATCTAATTTGAGCCAGACTGTCCTGTAAAAAGAGTTAGGAATTTGGGCTTTCAAAAAATAATATTTAAAACCTATTCAAACCAAACTTAAGAAAATTTCTGTGCTAATTTGAGAGTTCTGTTTTCTCCCCACACCTTCAGCTGATGACCCCCCGCCATGAGTCAGAGACTCTTAGTACAAACAAAATTAAGGTGTCTTCTCCTACTTTAGAATTAGAGCAGGAAGACACTTCTGTCTACTGAGTGGCCTGAGAACTGAGTCACACGTGTCCCTGGCATGACGAACTCTGTGCACTTCATTTTGGCCTCCATCTTTAAATGCCCGAGTCTTTTGTCCTGATCAGATTGTGTGTGTGATGTGTATGGTCTGTGTAGTGGCAGGGGGTCTGTGTGGTGCGAGGTGTATGTGGGGTGTGTGTGTGTGTGTTGTGTATGTGTTTGGGAGGTGTGTGGGGTGTCTAGGCTTGGAATGGCGCTGGGAATGTGCTATTAAGTGGAGCCCTTAAAAAAGACGCCATATCAGGATCAAGTATTCCTGGATTCATTAGCAAATCCGTACGTGACCTGTAAACGTGCAGAACCTCATGGTTCTGTCGTGTGCTGCACCTCCGCACGCTGGGATCTTAACACACTCACTCTCTGTCCTCAGTCCGAGCTACAAAGTCCTTGGACAACTTCCTGACACTGATGTGTATATTGACATAGACGCATTCGAGGAGGTAGGACCTTTTTCTATCGTTTTTTTAAGCATGTGATGTCGTCAGCTAACTATTATTTTTACCTAGGACAAAAAGGGGTGAAAAGGACAGAGGTGTAGTGGTCAGAGGGAAGTGCCTGAACTTTGATTTACTATCCAGGTTTAGTTTTATGGTTTATACTATGCATTAATTACTCAGCTTCCTAATATTTATTTTTCCTCTTTCTTTAATGAGGATAAATATATATTCTTGGAATTAAATTATATGTTTGGAAAATACTGAAACTAAGTGGATGGTTTGTATATGCATGATTTTCTCCTGATGGTGAAATCCTAACGTTAACCACGTGAAAAGCACAGGCAGTGTGAGGCTGTGGAATTCTACCACTCCATTTTTAACGGACATTTTGAATGTTCTTTTCTTATGTGGAACCTCAAAGGCTTTTACAAATTCTTTTGAAACTGGTTTTGTGTTTGTTTTGTTTTATGCTTGGGAAGAAATTCTCAGACTCACTATAAGGTATTAGGAAATAGGACTGGTGTTAGGATGGCTGTTTTTTCCTCCTTCTGAAGAATCGTGTGCTGAATTTCTTGTTTCCACACCACATTCTGGAGTTCCACGAGGCCTCTTGATAAAATATTCACTCTGTGTCCCTTGGGTCGGTTTCGACTCCTGCCTGCGGTCCATGAATCAGCCAGTGTAAACCTCTGTGCACTTTGTTTCTCTTCTTCTCACAGGCTGAGTAGCAGCCTCCCCTCTCCTATCCATTTTTTTTCTCTTTTTAAATATTTTTCACTTCCTTCTTCTTTGTACGTTATGATAAAAATAAAACAAGGAAAGACTTTTAAAAGAAATGGAGAGAGACGCATTTTTTAAAGGCTTTTTTCTCACTCCTCCTCCCTCCAGAGCGTGAGTACACAGAGTCAAGTGATGTCATTTCCTCTAAACACAGTGACGGCCCTCAGCAACCTCTGTATTAATTTTCAAGGTGGAGGAGGGAGGCAGTTGTAATTTTGATTCTGAAATGTTCCCATGTGTTAAATTCACTAACATTTTGTTTCTCAGGTGAAAGAAATTCCTGGAATAAAAATATTCCAAATAAATGCCCCAATTTATTATGCAAACAGCGATTTGTATAGCAGTGCATTAAAAAGAAAGGTGAGTCGTGAGAAATTGAGTGATTATCTCTGAGGAGGGGACCTGTGGATTCACAGGGACGCGAGGGTCACTTAAATGTCTTGGTTTACCTTTTATACTATTTCCTTCTCTTTTTTTTTTTATTGTGGTAAAATATACGTAGCATAAAATTTACCATTTTAACTATTTCCAACTGTACAACTTAGTGGATGGATTTAAGTACATTCACTTTGTTGGGCAACCGACGCCACTGTTCATCCTCTTATCATATGCGTGTATTACCTTTTCAAAAAAAATTTAAGAAAAAAGAGTAAAAAAATAATTTTAGGTTTCTTACTCTTAGGATCATGTGGGTTCTTCGGTCATGATTAGAACTCGACCCCTTACTGCCCAGTATATAGGAAAACCTTCCAATCGACCCACAGAGTCTCTGAAATAAAAGAATCTGAGAGATCTAAGTTTGAGAAATACTGCTTTAAAAATTCTCTTTAATACTTTAGCTTCTGGTTGTCTTGAATCAAGACCAAGAGTAAGGAAGGCACTAATGTTCTTTTCATGAGGGAGGAACGGTTCAGGGCATCTGGGGGAACGGCGGAGCAAGGGTGGGGGGTCATAAGATGGCATAGAAAACAGGCAGAGGGGGAGATTTGAAGATTAACTGCATGTGAGTGGGTCCCTGGGAGCCAAGAAGTGATTTTGCGTCTATTGCTCTTCTGGAAGACTGGCGTGAACCCGGCCCACATAATGGGAGCTAGGAGAAAGGCCATGAGGAAGTATGCTAAGGAGGTCGGAAATGCAAATATGGCCAACGCAACCGTGGTCAAAGTGGTGAGTGATCTCCTCGTTGTCATCTTCCCTTCCTCTTGACCTGCAGTGCCCCCCGCCTTTGTTCATGGGTGCAGTTTAACACGGCAGGAAGGCCCTAAAATAGGAAAGCTTAGAAACAATCTCGGTATCCTTTGTATGTTAAAGATACATGCTAAGGTCAGTTATGAGAATGCTTCTGAAATAAGTAGTGATAGGAGCCCAGGGAAACATGGTTTTAAACACAGTGCCTTAATAAGTTTTACCATTAGTACCTTGTCATAGATTCATTTGGCTGATAGTAAAAAAAAAACCTCAAAGCCTGGTTTTTTTGTTTGTTTGGGGTTGTTTTGGTTTTTTTGTATTAGCACTTTTTTTTTAATTGAGGTTATAATAGTTTACAATATTGTGAAATTTCAGTTGTACATTATTATTTGTCAGTCATCTTATAGGTGCATCCCTTTAGCCTTTGTGCCCCCCACCTCCCTTCCCCCTGGTAACCACTAAATAGTTCTCTTTGTCCATGTGTTTGTTTATCTTCCACATATGAGTGGAATCATGCAGTGTTTGTCTTTCTCTATCTGGCTTATTTTGCTTAACATAATACCCTCAAGGTCCACCCATGTTGTTGTGAATGGGACATTGTTATCATTTTTCATGGCTGAGTAGTATTCCATTGTGTATATATATATACTACATCTTCTTTATCCAATCATCAGTCGGTGGGCACTTGGGTTGCTTCCACGTTTTGGCTATTGTGAATAGTGCTGCAATGAACATAGTGGTGCATAAGTCTCTTTGAATTGCTGATTTCAAGTTCTTTGGATAGATACCCAGTAGTGGGATGGCTGGGTCACGTGGCATTTCTCTTTTTAGTTTTTTGAGAAATCTCCATACTGTTCTCCTTAGTGGCTGCACCAGTTTGCATTCCCACCAACAGTGTATGAGGGGTTGCTTTTCTCCACATCCTCTCCAACATTTGTTATTTTTTGTCTTGGTGATTATAGCTATTCTGACTCGAGTAATGTGATATCTTAGTGTAGTTTTGATTTGCATTTCCCTAATGACCAGTGATGTTGAGCATCTTTTCATGTACCTATTGGCCATCTGTTTATCTTCTTTGGAGAAATGTCTGTTCATATCCTCTGCCCATTTTTTCATCAGGTTGTTTAATTATTTGTTGTTGAGTTGTGCAAATTCTTTATATACTATGGAGATTAACCCTTTGTTGGATATATGATTTGCAAATATTTTTTCCCAGTTGGTGGGTTGTCTTTCATTTCAATTCTGTTTTCACTTGCCTTGTAGAAGCTCTTTAAAAGTCTGGTAAGTCCCATTTGTGTATTCTTTCTATTGTTTCCCTTGTCCAAGAAGACATAGTATCCGAAAAGATCCTTTTAAGACGGATGTCAAAGAGTGTACTACCTACATTTTCTTCTAGAAGTCTTACGGTTTTAGGTTTTACCCTCAAGTCTTTGATCCATTTTAAGTTTATTTTTGTGAATGGCATAAGAGAATGGTCTACTTTCATTCTTTTACATGTGGCTGTCCAGTTTTCCCAATACCATTTGTTGAAGAGACTTTCCTTCTTCCATTGTATGTTCTCAGCTCCTTTGTCGAAGATTAGCTGTCCATAGATGTGTGGTTTTATTTTTGGGCTTTCAATTCTGTTCCATTGATCTGTGTGCCTGTTTTTATACCAGTACCATGCTGTTTTGATTACTGTAGCTTTGTAATATATTTTGAAGTCAGGGATTGTGATACCTCCAGCTCTGTTCTTTTTTCTCAGGATTGCTTTAGCAATTCAGAGTCTCATTGCCCCATGTGAATTTTAGGATTCTTTGTTCTATTTCCATGAAGGGTATCATTGGGATTCTGATTGGGATTGCATTAAATCTGTAGATTGCTTTAGGTAATATGGACATTTTAACTATGTTTATTCTTCTAATCCATGTGCATGGAATGTCTTTCCATCTCTTTATGTCTTCATCAGTTTCTTTTAGAAAAGTCTTGTAGTTTTCATTGTACAAGTCTTTCACTTCCTTGGTTAAATTTATTCCAAGACATTTTATTCTTTTTGTTGCAATTGTGAATGGGATTGTGTTCTTGAGTTCTCTTTCTGTTAGTTCGTTATTAGAGTATAGAAATGCAACTGATTTATGTGAGTTGATTTTGTACCCTGCAACTTTGCTGTAATTGTTGATTATTTCTAATAGCTTTCTGATGGATTTTTTAGGGTTTTCTATATATAAAAACGTGTCATCGGCAAACACTGAAGTTTCACTTCTTCATTGCCTTTTTGGATTCCTTTTTTTTTCTTTTTCTTGCCTAATTGCTGTGACCAAAACCTCCAGTGCTATGTTGAATAAGAGTGGTGAGAGTGGGCACCCTTGTCTCGTTCCTCTTCTCAGAGGGCTGGCTTTCAGTTTTTCCCCATTGAGTATGATGTTGGCTGTGGGTTTGTCATATATGGCCTTTATCATGTTGAGGTACTTTCCTTCTATACCTATTTCATCGAGCAGTTTAATAGATGTTGGATCTTGTCAAATGCTCAAAGCCTGGATTTGTTGTTCAGGTTTATGGTAACTTGCAGTCTGTCATGCTGAAGTGAATGAACTATTTTAGAAGTTAGGAGAAAATGGATATGATGACCAAGGAGAGTAGATTTCATTGAATAAAAAAAAAAAAAAACAGAGGAGGAAGAGATGAAAAGAAACTGAGCTCAAGTTGAATATTATGTACACATCCTTTTTTTGTCACATTACAAGGCTGGGATATGGCAAATATTTTAGAAGAGATCTGGTATAGTCAGTAGCTTGAGAATATAAGGACTAACTTTCCCTTGCAAATCTCTCTCAGAACCAAAATGTGAGTTGTTCATAGAATTCTGGTTTGGTTTAATTTTTGACATAGGATGCAGCAGTAGATGGAGAAGATGGCACCAAGCCTGAAGAAGAGGAGGATGAAATAAAATTTCCCCCAGTAGTCACCAAGAGCACATTTCCCGAAGAACTGCAAAGATTTATGCCCCCAGGAGATAATATCCACACCATCATTCTAGATTTTACACAAGTCAATTTTATTGATTCTGTTGGTGTAAAAACTCTGGCAGGGGTAAGCATCATCTTAAACAAGTCATTTAATATCTCCGTGCCTAGTTTCACTGTCAGTAAAATCAGAGAGTTGAACTAGGGTCCCTTTGCAACTTTTTTTATTTTATTTTTGGTGAGGAAGATTGGCCCTGAGCTAACATTTGTTGCCAATGCTCTTTTTGCTTGAGGAAGATTGTTGCTAAGCTAACATCTGTGCCAATCTTCCTCTACTTTTTGTGTGTAGGACACTGCCACAGCATGGCTTGATGAGACGTGTGTAGGTCTGTGCCCAGGATCCGAACCTGTGAACCTGGGCCACTGAAGCACAGTGCACAAACTTAACCAGTACGCCACCAGGCTGGCACCCCCTTTTCAACTTTTAAAATTCTTTTTTGGTGGTGTTATTTCCAACTTTTGCTTATGGAAAATTTCAAAAATATACAAAAGTAAAGAGCATACTATGATGAACCCCCCTGTAACTCTCACACAGCTTCAACAATTCCCCAGTTTGGGTCAGTCTTGTCTTGTTCCTTCCCCACACCCACTTTCCCCTTCTCTCATTTTGAAGCTCATCCAAGGCATCACATCGTCTGTAAATATTTCAGTATATATCTCTATAAGAAGACTCTTTTCAAAATCGTTACTGTAATACGTTTATTACACCTACATAAAATTTAACAAGAATTCTTTGATATCCCTAATCATCACTGTCCCTATAAAAATCAAAAGAAATACAAAATTATTTTTAAATGATTAGCTCAAAAATGCAGAATTATGGAAGCACAGTAGCTCAAGTGAACGAACTAGAGTGTCTTGTATCACTAAATACGCATTGATAGAAAGAGACTGGCATCTGGCAAAGAGTCAAGAGAAACTAAACTTTATTTCAACATTATTACAGATTGTAAAGGAATATGGAGATGTCGGTATTTATGTGTATTTAGCAGGATGCAGTGGTGAGTACCCTTCTAGAACGGGAAGAAGTTTTAACATTTTGGTTCTGTTTTCCTTTTCATAATAACTGCATTTGGAAACGTTTTCCCTTAATTTTAGTTTTTGGTGAAAACGGAAATTGCTCTTCTGAAAAATCCCTCTAAAGCTAGCTTTGAAATTAGCCACTTGCAGGTGGTGACATTACCAGGTTTCTTGTGGCAGGCCTCCTGAAATGGAGCTGGAGGAGAGGAGCTAATAAACCGTTGTCCTAGGCTGGTATATTTTTTAGTAATTATTTAATGGCTGCCATAAACATGTTATAGTTCTATAAAGGCACTCAGGTTTTTCCACGCAATGGTTTTGGAATACGTTGCCTGCTCTTTTGGTTTTATATTCAATTCTGGTTAAAACACTGCTTGAAAATGAAATCTACATAAAGACATGACATTTCACCTGCCAGAATAGTAAAAATCAAACATGTTTGGCCACGCGCTCTGTAGGTGTGCTGGGGGAGGTCAGGCTCTCAGACGCCGCCGGGGGCGTGCTAGAGGGGACGGCCTCTGTGGTGGCTTTCAGAAGCACACGTGCATTTACCTGTCACCCAGCAAATCGGCAGTGTGCTGCACGCCTTCAGAATGACACACGGACATGGGTAATCACAGGACTGTCTGTGAAAACAAAGAGCTGGAGAAAACCCAAGTGCCAAAAAAGGGGATCCGTTAACCTGGGGTACATCTACACAATAGAATACCAGGAGTGGTAAAAAAAAAAAAAATTCAGTAAAAAGATCGTTAAAAAAAAAAATCGAGAATAATATATATAGTATGCTATCTTTTGGGTAAAAAAAGGGGGTAAATAAGAATATATATTGACATTTACTTATATTTGCATAAAGAAATACTGAAAGAATATACAAGAAAATAGTAAAAGTAGCTTCCTGCAGCTGGGCGTGTGATGTCATGGGGACAGAGATTGGAGTCAGACTTTTTACTGTATGATTTTAATATTTGAACTATATGAAAGTTATACTTTTTTTTTAATGTTCAAGTCTGACAGAGTGTGGACTAATTTTCTTTTCTTCTTTTATAGCCCAAGTTGTGAATGACCTCACTCAAAATCGATTTTTTGAAAACCCTGCCTTGAAGAAGCTGCTGTTCCACAGCATCCACGATGCAGTTCTAGGCAGCCAAGTTCGAGAGGCGCTTGCTGAACAGGAAGCCTCGGCTCCCCCTCCCCAGGAGGACTCGGAGCCCAACGCCACTCCCGAGGCCTAGAGGGGCCCAGAGGGAGGGTGAGCCTCTCCTGCGATGACTAATTCACACGTTCTAAATACTAGACAATAGGTTTTTTCCTAAGGGTAAATCCTAGTACTCAAGGCTTGCTTTGGAGGGTGAATGACATGTAGCAAGATGTATCTCACTTGTGTTTTTTTAATTGAATATTTCAAAGATAAATTGGCCTCTTGCCTGCATTTATCGTGCAGTGACATTTCTGCCACTTATAGTCTTACCTTGTCATCCGAGCCCTTAAGAATTTATGTCCTTTAAGTACTTTACCTACAAATAAGATACGCTGTCACCAGATGGGTACTGGTTCCTCGCCTTTGTACTTGGTCTGTAATCAGAGTAATCTAACAGAGGGGGCACACCCACAATTTTCTAGAAGTTCTTCTTTAAAAATAACCTTATTATAGAAGCAATGTAAGTGCATTGCAGAAAATGAGAAAAAATAGACAAGCGAAAATAAGGAAATAAGAACATTAGATTGCCACCACTTAAAGATTACTGCAAACACCTTAATGCATATCCTTCCAGATCTTTTTCTGTGCATATATATTTACATCTTTTAAGCAAAATAAGGTGATACTCTACATAGCATTCTGTAATGTATTTTTTTTTCAGTCAAACGATCTCCACTTTCTCATTCCAGAACATTTTTACCTCAGACCATATTCAAATTTCCCCACTTGTCCCCAAATTTTTAGTTGGTTTGTCTACATCTGGTCATGTCCCTTTGAGTCCCTTAAGTCTGTCTTAATCTAGCACAGTCCCTTTTTTGATGACATTGACTGGTTAAAGAGACTGGGGCAGTTGTCCTGTAGCATCTCATCTTGCGAATGTGTCTACTTTCTCTCTCAAGGTTTTAGTTAGCTTGTCCCTTTATTCCCTGAATACTTGTAATCCATAAGGTATATCTAAAGGCATCATGGATTTGAATAAAACACTTTCTGCTGGAATATATCACAGATGAGACACATGCTTCAAATCACACCACATCAGAAAACAGACTATCTAGTTGACCTACCATTAACGGTGCTAAGATAGATCACTGGGTTAACGTGTCAGCGTAAGCCCCCATTACGTCTTCTCCTTTGTGACCAGTGGTTATCTGTGGGGGGTTCCTTTGGCACTCAGCGAATGCCCAGTTCCCCAGTGGCCATTCACCCAGGGGTTTTAACAACTAGTGATAATCCTTGCCTAAATCAGTACGTTCTTTAAGGTTTGTGAATTTTTTTTTCCAATCCTCTCATTTCTTCTGCATTTACTAGTTGATGTTTACTTCCACGTTTACTTCCTCACCTTGAGCTATTCGGTCATCTTTAAATACACTTCTTACTGGAAAGGCAGGTTAAATGTTTTATTTTTATCCATTTAATTATCAACTTCAAAGGAAGGAGTTGGTTTAATAGATGGTGATAAATTAGGTTCTTTTAGATTTCTCATTTTTGGTATAATTATAGACTCAAGAATTTTTATAGTTTTAATGTGTTTCAGTCCATTATAGGTATTCTTTTTGGTACTCAAACTGTTACACCTGTGGCTAGTAGGTGCCCCTAGAAGTTTTGTTATTGTCGCTGATAGTGAGGTAGCCCTAAAGACCATGTATTTAAGAAAGCTAACTCCGAGGTACAATTTAATATCTTCCTTAGAAGTCCATAAGAGTTATCAGTTAATTCTGCATCAAACTCACTTTTAAGCCTACGAGTGAGTAAAATGCTGATTTCAAGCATTCTTTATATTTGTTCAAAAGGAGTGAGGGAGACTTTTCAGCCGATCTGTCATTGAAAGTTCTTCTCTTGTAGTTCCAACCGCCAGCTCACTGTAAATCGGAGCACAAGTGTCAGCCAACCTGCCTGAAGCCTGCGCTGCTAGGATTTCCTGCTAACAGTCAGTGTGTCTCTTTTCTATGTCTTCTTTTTTTTTTTTTCAAATAAGTATGGACAAGTTTTTAAAGATTTTATTTTTCCTTTTTCTCCCCAAAGCCCCCCAGTACATAGTTGCATATTTTTAGTTGTAGGTCCTTCTAGTTGTGGCATGTGGGACGCCACCTCAGCATGGCCTGACAAGCAGTGCCATGTCCATGCCCAGGATACGAACCAGTGAAACCCTGGGCTGCCGAAGCAGAGCGCGCAGACTTAACCACTTGGCCACAGGCTGGCCCCTCTATGTCTTCTTACTGAGTCCTTGTTTTGGTTTTCATGAAGAAAATACTGCCAGCAGAAAAGTGGTCAGATCCCAGGACAGACCTGTGTTAGCACGGGTCTCCTTGAAACCAGGCCCTCTGGTGTGTGTGCTTCAACTCCTGTCAGGTTTCTCGGTGACTTCACTAATTTAATTCAAAGCAGACCTCTCCTTTCCAGCCCATCCTTTATCTAGGTCTGGAGTGAAAATGGATTGGCATCCAGTTATTTCCTTTGCAGTCAGCACACGCAAGATCAGATACATCTGCATTCTGAGAGACTGCCTTCTGAAAGAGCTTGTAGTTGTAGCACCTCAGCCTGCACTAGAACCTTCTGTCAAAGGGCGCGCATCGTTTCAGCCGTTCAAGTGGATCGTAAGATTTTAAACGTTATAAAAGATTTCATTGCATAGTCTTTAGCACTAGTCTTTGACATATGCTTTACACACAGCAGATACTCAAGTCCTAGTTATTGATACAGTGTACAGAAAAAGTGTGTCTATACCCTACGAATTTGTATTAAACCTGTTCTTTAATTTTTAACCTGTTTTCAATAGAATTCTACCATGTACATAAAAAGCACTTAAGTCTTACTGAAGGGAAATATATTTTTGTTTCAGCATGTCTCTGAGAAAGCTAGAGTGCATTTCAGAATATATCTTATCTATATGTAAATATGTTGGAATGTTTTACTTAGAATTATTTCATATAATGGAAAATTTCCTGACTTTTTTTACTTAGGTCATTTTGTCTCTACCTTCTTTCTGGACCTTAGTAGCTGCTAGAATATGCCTTTTTATGTGTTTTTCAGCTCTGGTTCAAATTCAAGTTCTTAGTGCCCTATCAAATGGGGCACAATCCACACTGATAGATACAGGGACTAGAACTAGCCTTATTTTGTGGCAGTATGGGAGAGAGCCCTGTTATCAGGAAGGTCCCATATAGAGAAGCCCTTTCTTCCTCAAATCCTGTGCCACAACAGTGGTTGATCTCTGCCTCGTGGACGGATGGAATATGTTTGAGAACAATTGTGAACCTGGACCCAGGAAACTCCGAATTCATGTCACAGGCATTGACTGTATAATCATATGGCGGCAGACAGTGGGATCCTGATGGCCAGGCTCATCTGCAGTGGAACTCAGAGAAACAGTGAAGGACATGAATTCTCTGCAAGCCCTGGGAGTAAGAAGCTCATTTTGTAGTTTTCAGGTAACATCTAAAATACCCACTCTGTGTAGTTTGATCCCATATCCTTACCTGTTTAACAGAGGCACCGCCTGCCTCTAGTGGTACATTTTGAGAAAGTGAGTCTGCCCTCACGTGTGCATGAAGGAGGGTAGAAACCCAGAGACTCTGCCCTGGAGTGGGTGGGGGTTTCCTGTGTTTTAGGGAGTGGGGAAGGGCGGGGGGTGCGGGTGCCTTTGTGTGGGGATGGGAGAGGGAGAGGGAGGGCAGGGGATGTGGTGGGGAAGGCTTTATCTGTTGTCTGCCCCTTTAAAGGTACTAAATCAATTTAAATTCTAAAGTCAAACAAAACATCCTTGGTGTGAGCCTGTATGCTTTACTGAGTGCAAAATGCTGTTGGTCCTTTTTAGGGTACCTTTCAGGAATGCTTTTAGGATTCAGTATGTTTAGATTCTTGATAATATGGTTTGAGTGCCGATAAAAAAAGTTGGTTTGAGAACTGATAAAACTATTGTCTAATTCTCCAAACATAAAGCCAACCAAAATGCCTGCAATGGTTTCAAAACCCCTCAAATCCCAACAACAAAATGTTCAAAAGCTAGCAATGCAACAGGTAATCTGCCTGCCTGACTTGGATTCAGTCAAGTTTGAGCATCTCAAAAATCCATCTTACCTTTGAAAAGGCTAACCAGGTTTTTCATTGTTCTGGTGGATCACATTTTACTGTATATAACAGATGAACCTGAGCTTTGTGGAAATTAAATTTTTATAAATCTATTCACATTGTAAAATGTTTTTAAAAAAGTATTTTATTTTTTTTTTTTTAAGATTTTATTTTTCCTTTTTCTCCCCAAAGCCCCCCAGTACATAGTTGTATATTCTTCGTTGTGGGTCCTTCTAGTTGTGGCATGTGGGACGCTGCCTCAGTGTGGTTTGATGAGCAGTGCCATGTCTGCGCCCAGGATTCGAACCAACGAAACACTGGGCCGCCTGCAGCAGAGGGCGCGAACTTAACCACTCGGCCACGGGGCCAGCCCCTAAAAAAGTATTTTTTAAAGCACCACTACAGTGTTTTCTAAAGTCATAAACCATTTGTATTCTGATCTGTCAACCCCCTGATATGTATAAACATACATGTACTTCTACACACACATATATATACACACATGTAACTTCACGCACACACACATTCTAGGTGGAGGGAAGTTACTGGTGAATATTTATCTTTTTAAATAGGGTACAAACATGCTAATCTAGATAGTGTTGATGCCATCAACATACACAGCCCGCGGGAAGAAACACCCAAATTTTTCAAATAATTCATTGTACACTTGATGTGTGGCCAGTTAGATTTTCATCACGTAACTGAGATGTCGAGATTATTCAGAGCCTGTTAGGCCTGAGTGAGTGCAACATATGCTGTGAGTTGTCTCCAATTGATGTATGTGATGTAAGAGTGTGCTCTAAATGCTTACACACCTCTGTAGTCATTCGCTGGAGTCTCTGTTGTTATAAGCATAACCTGGCAATGGTCCGCTCTACCTCATACCTCAGGAGAGACCAGGGCAGGCTTAGAAAAAAGTTCCTGATCTATTTCACAAAAATGAAAAGAAAGAAAGGAGTTGGTTGGATTTTATGAATGAAGGCCTTTAATAATTCTGCTTGAAAACTTTCATATTTTAAATATTTCATTGCAACACTTAGAGGATTTTCTATGTTGTCAGCTTTTTCTTTTGTGAATTAAATTGCATCCAGCTGTCACTATTTTGCATTACCTATTTATGAATATTGAACTGCAATAAAAATATTC